CTACTCTTATTTGAATTCAGATTCTCTTTTCCTCAAAAAATTTAGCTTAAACAATAATAAAAGAAACATCATATGCTTCACTGATCTTATTCCCTAAAAGTGGTGGTCTTCTCTAGCGACCCAGAAAGTGAAGGTGCAGAGGCTCTGGGTTTGGATCTGGGATCTAGAACAATCAATCAATAGAAAATTTTCAATAAGTAAATTGAGTATGAGCAGTGCTAGGGGCACTTGCTTTCTGCACTCTACGGCCAACACTTCCCCTTTCATTGGGTCACGTAAGCTTCTTTAAAAGGCTTTCAGCGCAACCTCCTGGGAACTAAAATAACGTGGCCCAATAAAAGAGAAAGTGTTGGCTGGAGAGTGCAGAAAGCGAGTGCCCCTAGCATTGCTCCTTTTTTTTTTTTTGAACAAGGTTATAATTTTAGGGTGGGAGGAATCAAACCTTAGTCAAGGGTTGGATGATGCACTTTACAAGTTGGTCTATGGTTGTTGGACCGTGAGGCCCAAGTCTCCTAGCATTGCTCATTGAGTATTCATTTGATCCAACAATGCATGGAAATCCCAAATACGAATCGAACTAACAGTAAGACATGGAAAACAAAATGCGCATTAGATGAACTACAGTGAAACACAAAGCAACAAGAAGTAGAAACTACAATTCTTGGTTTCTTCCTAACTAGCAATAACATTTATCAACAGATTAAAAAAAAAGGGCCCCTAAGCACCAACAAACTTCTTCATTATTAATGAATAAATTGACAAGCAAGCAAACAAGCAGATCATTTTGTCAATTTCTTTCATAGTTTCCAATTTTTATATTTTTTTCTTTTTAATTATTTTATTTCTTTCTTTTATTTTATTATTGAGAGACATAGATATTTTACGGGGACTTAAACCAACAATTCAAAACTGTAGTTGTGGATGGGCTGGTGTTGGGCCTGTTCAGAAGAGGCAATCTGTTTTAGGCTCAGGTATGGTGGAGGATTTAGATGGGCCTTGCTCCGCAGAGACGATTTAATGACCCATCTTAGTTCTCTAATTTTTTACTACAGGGAGCTACTCCGCCGGAGCCCACATGTTAAACTTAAATATGCTGTTAGGGAATCCAATATGGCTGGAGATCAAATACCCAAGCTGGAACATCGTTTGAGCATGATTTTGTTATATTTGATTGTATCCTGCCTCATGTTAAGCAATTTTGTGTTGCGTATAATATGGGAATTGTATATTGCCTTTGAATATAAAATAAAATAATTTTTATTTTATTATTTAGATTATCTTAAATTATAAAATAAGTATTTATACAAAATAAAAATTATTAAATGAGTGAGCAGCTTCCAATATCAAGCCGCTGTACTTCCATCAAATGATTTATATTATACAATTTATTGCAGTTCCAACTTTATTAACACTTTTTTGAAGAGGAAAATATACATCTAAGACTTAATTACCCACTTTGGGTGCATTTAGAATTATGGTTGAGAGTTTTTTTTATAATTGTATAATAT